CCAGTCATGCGGGTTCTACTCCCCGGTATTTCTAGTTCCCGAGAAAGACACGGAGGAGATGAGGATGATCATAGACTTGAAAGTGTTAAACAAGGAATATTTAAGGAAACCTCCCAAATTCAAGATGGAATCCCTGACCAATTTGAGAACTCTTATCCAACCAAATTCCAAATTCATCAGCATAGACCTGAAGGACGCTTATCTTCATGTACCAATACATCCTCGGTCTCAGAAGTACTTTCGTTTCGCGGTAAACGGACGGAGATTTCAATTCCGTGTTCTACCTTTTGGAATTTCTCTAGCTCCTTGGCTGTTCACGGTGATCATCATTTTAGCGTTCCTACATCATCGTCAGATAGCTATCCACGGTTACTTGGACGATTTCCTGGCACGGAATATAATTACTCAGACTCTTTTAAAACAGACCAAGTTTATACTCCACGTGTTCACACATCTAGGCCTTGTTGTACACCCGGTCAAGTCAGAACTAGTCCCCACATCAAAAATCAAGTATCTGGGAGCCATCCTAGATGCCAAAACGGCACGAAATTTTTACACCTCAGGATCGTTGGTACAAGATCCGGACCAAGATTTTTAATCTGTTAGCAAGCAAGGCCGCGTCAATTCGGACATGGATGTCCCTGCTGGGATCTCTTACGTCTATCCAAGATTTCACGATGAGGGGCAGGATTCATCTTCGCGAACCGCAAATATGGATCAATGGGTTCAGGGATCTGGACTTAGAAACTATGGTATCTCCTCCCTTCATGATTAAGTCAGGAATTTTTTGTGGTGGTGGTGGACAGCAACGTGCTTCCAGGAGTACATTTTCGTCTTCCTCCTCCATACTCTATATGCGGGACGCCTCAAACTCGGGATGGGGCGCTCATGTCAACGAACATCAAGTTCAGGGGCTGTGGTCTCAACAGGAAAGCAATCTCCATATCAACTGTCTGGAGATGTTAGGCTGGTAAAAGCTCTGTCTCATTGGTCTTGGAACCTGCATCAGAAGAACATTATGTTAGTGACAGACAACGGCACAGTAGTAGCCTATATAAACAAACAGGGGGAACCAAATCTCATCGTCTACTACAGATTACGAAGGAACTTTTCAAAATAGCAGATTCCATGAAAAGTCATATAAAAGCTCGTCACATCCGGGAAAGGTGAATATTTTGGCAGACTCTCTCCAGACAGGACAGAGTGATATCAACAGAATGGACTTTGAATATGGAGGCTTTCAAACTCATCAAGGAGAAATGGGAAACACCATCCATAGATCTCTTCGCGACAGCAAGGAACAATCGTCTACCTACATTTGTGAGTCCTGTTCGGATCCAACAGCCTGGGCAGTGGATGCCCTGTCAATCTCATGGGAAAATCTGATAGCATATGCTTTTCCTCCGTTCAAATTGATACCGGAAGTACTAGCCAAGATCGCCCAACACAACTGTGTAGTTTATCTGGTAGCTCCAGCATGGTCGACCAGAACATGGTTCACGGACCTTCTTCAATTATTGACGGACAAACCCTTACGACTGCCTTGTTGGGAAAATCTTCTCAGTCAGCCCAAGTCGGACAGATACCACAAAAATGTAAACCTACTAGCTCTTCACGTATGGAGACTATCTATAGTTCCCTCAAGGAGCAGGGTTTCAATGAACAAGCAATTTCGGCTATCTCCGAGTCTATCAGACCTTCAACGGCAGCACTGTATGACACCAAGTGGAATGTCTTCATCCAGTGGAGAAGAGAACAACGACTACTCAATATTCCAGTCACCATACCTGTCATAGCAGATTTTCTTATATATCTCAGGATGGTTAAAAAATTAAAACACAATACTATTGAAGGCTATAGATCAGCGATTGCTTCAGTCATGGACTTACAGGGACTATCTGTAGGATCTGATCATTCTTTACACAGGATTATTAGATCTTTCCAGATCAAGGATGTGTCATCGCCCGTCATTATTTCCTAAGTGGGATCTATGTTTGGTACTACAGGCTCTACAGAAGTCTCCGTTTGAACCTATGCAAGACACTTCCTTAAAATACTTGAGTTTTAAAACTGCTTTTCTACTGGCTTTTGCTCACGGCTTCAAGAGTGTCAGAACTGCACGCTATTGACTTTAAATCTATTGCATTCTCGGAAGGGTATAAGATGATGACTTGTAGGGCCGGTGCCTGAATTTACAGCCAAGAATCAGTCGGCGTCTCATGGTTTGTTAGGACACAGAGTCTACAGAATACCAGCTCTGCCTGCCCCTGCCTCTAGATCTGACAGATCAAGACTACTTTGTCCGATCCGAGCTCTCAGATGGTATATACACCGCACATCTAGTTTTAGGCGGAATCGTCGTCATCTCTTCCTCTCCTGTAAAACAAATGTTAATACGGACATATCTAAGAATACAATTTCTTCATGGCTCAGGAAGACAATCAGCCTATGCTTACGGAGACTTGGATCAAGAATCAGTTAATGTTAGATTCTCGCCACATGAGATTAGGGCATTAGCATCAACAGTAGCGGCATGGGGTTCAGTTTCAGTTGAGCAGTGGTGGCTAGTTGTCAATGGAAGTCGTCAAACACATTTATAAATTTTTATTTAAGAGATGTAGCCTCTTCAATGGAAGGCCTTAAGTCCCTGGGTCCGTTAGTAGCGGCACAACACCTTTCCTCCGCCTAGTACCTATTAAAGGGGGTGGGGGTGGGGGTGTAGCAGGGATTGGATCATGTGTCAAGCATGTTACACACCTGGATTATACGATGATGGAGAGAAGATATAGAGACAGAAGTATTATCAGGTAGGTCACAGTTACGATTATCCCTATTATAGATACTAACCGAACTCAGGTGGTGGTTGAGTATTGAAAGGGAGTAGTCTCTAATTATTACGGAATTAATCTTAAGGATTGGGAGAATCAACCGGAAGTGACGTCATAAACCGGAAGTGACGTCATAGACCGGAAGTGGCGCCATAGACCCGAATATTGACCGGAAGTGGCGTCATAAATGGGAAGTTACGTCATGAGATGACAGAATTAGGGAAGTTGTCAATTGGAAATTATCAATATTAATTCATCTGAAGAGTAGTATAATTCGATTGATAATTAGAGACTACTCAACATTTGGAATGAAGTCCAGTGGACAATGATCAATATTATATTTCACCAGTGAATTATTTACTACTAAGTCATAGTTATCCTTAGAGGATTTTGATCATGGAGAATAACTCACTAGTGGTATGGTATGCTTCAGGACTATTCTTCTAGGGATAGCCCTTCATCCGTATGTGGGATTCAGGCAACCATAATCCAGAGGGAATGTTTACGCCTCAATTAGGAACAATTACATTTATTGTTAGTAATTGTTAGTAAACTACCTCTGGATTATGAAGGTATAGTCGACCCTTCCTCCCCTCCTTTCCTCTAGAAGATAAGTGTTTTGTAAACTGTATTCATAAAATTTGTGAGGATTTTCAAACTACTATACAGTGACATCTAGGTCAGGGGGAGGTAACTCTGTCAGTTGGAAGGGCATACCACAAGGGATAGCTATGACTTAGTGTTAAAATTTTCACTTCATTCTGTATGTGTCTGTGGAAACCACAGAATAAGGCAACCATAATCCAGAGGTAAGTTTACTAACAATTACTAACAATAAATGTAATTGTTCCTTTTCCAGCAGGATAAAGCCCGGGCCCAATCTTTGGGATTAAATTCAGAGGAGACAGAATAATGTCATACCAGGCCTTTCTCAGAGTGTGGTTCAAGGTGCCAATGGCCTTCATCAATTGATTGGTGCAGTCCATGCATAGATGCTGTGCTGCAGTTATTGCCGCTCGTTGTGGTCACACTAGATACTGAAGTCAAGAGTCAGAATGGACTGCAAATGTTCACGTAATGTCTTGGAATTGTGCTGAGTTGTTCATTGATGTGTCAAGATATTGTGCACAACAAAAATTTTGATCTGCTGATTATGTCCATTTCTGTAATGATTTGATTACAGTGCGTATCTAATTTTGAATTCTTACTGATGGTTTTGTTTGCTGCTGAGTATATATTCTTTGTACATTATTGTCTCAAGTTTGCAGGATTCAAGGGGAGTGATTTTGACCGGTGTGCAGTCCGTCAATTTGTACAAAGTTTATGTGAAGTACAAAAGCAACTTCCTACTCTAGATATGATATATGGCAAGGGTTTTCGAAAGAATCTGAAAGACATGGGGTTTAGGTGGCGAAAAATGCAGTCAAATCGTAAGGTTTTAATGGAACGAAAAGACATCGTTGCAAAGCGCATGCAATACTTACATGCAATAAAAATATGTCGAAATGAAACATGGTTGCATGTACACCACATTGTCCCAAAATGTTGGCAGGTTGATGGTGAGGTTGTGATAAATGGGGTTCAGCCTCTGTCCCGTACCGGACCTCGGCTTATTGTTGTTCATGCAGGGTCCAAAAACGGTTTTGTACCAAATACTTTACTTGTATTTGACTCAAAGCTCAAATCAGCAGATTATCATGACGAGATGAGTTTTGATAATTTTTCAAAATGGCTGCAGGAAAAATTGATCCCACACATTCCACCCCACTCCATCATTGTTATAGATAATGCGCCATACCACAGCAAGCAAGTGGACAAATGTTCAACAATGGCTAACAGAAAAGATGATATCAAAGCTTGGTTACAAAGGCACAATATTGCATTTGACGATAAAATGCTCAAAGCTGAGTTGTTGTGTCTGGCAAAATCCAACAAACTGGGCCCTGTCTATAGAGTAGACACTATGTTGAAACAACATGGCCATGATGTACTACGTCTTCCTCCTTACCACTCAGAATTGAACCCAGTTGAGTTGATTTGGGCCAATGTCAAAACTTATGCTGCTGAACAAGACTTGCAGTTCACAAAAACTTTGCTAAGAGTTGCCATAAACGAGAGAATGTCTGCAATCATAATGTCTGCAAAAGGAATGGTCCGAATCTTGTAAACAAGTATCCCAACTGTGTAAATTGAAGCTCGAGATGATGATCACTGGATTGTCTGGTCAAGACTGATTATTTAGAGAAGCAGCCATGTAGATGGAATATTGCTGAGTGTGGCGTTAAACAAGAAGCAAACAAACAAACAAATCTTGATCTTTAGACCGAAGTCTGTGAAGTGTGCAATGTTTGCCTGTTTTACCAAGAGGGGAAATTATTTTGGTGAGGTGCTGGGTTGTGTTGTACATAGGAACAAGTAACCTGGCCTTGATAGGGTAATGCGGGGGGGGGATATAGTCGACGCCTCGTCCGTGACTCTTGTGTTTATAACGTGGGCAATAGACGGAGTAGTATATGTAATGGGGGATTTTGGACCAAGTCTGACATTAGCTTCTTTTACCCAGTGAAGCCTTTGTCGGACCCTTATCATCTCCCTCCACGTGGCTATTATGGGCCCCTGGAATGTTGACTTTACCTGTGAAGGGCCTCGAGAAAGATATTGTGTTGTGGGGCATGATCAATACCTCTGGTTTCTTCAGCCACTGTCACTCGGTTATGTTGATCTCAGCAAACAGTTTATCGTGGATCTTCTATGATTTCTTTGGTTTTCGTGATGAAGGCTTGTCGGGCCTGTTGTACCCCCTGTTCTATGTACTTTTTTTTCTCGTCTTCACTGATGGTGGTGCTTTTATGAGACTTGGACCGGATCTCCTGTTTCATGTGGTTGTATTTAGCAATTTCCGACATCACCAAACAAAACTCGTCCTTTGATATTTTACTGTCCTTGAGTGCGGTGGAAATATGATCATCTATTGTGTTCAACTTCGCTTCGGCTAGAACTCTAATTACATCGCATTTCAACGCTTTACGTTGCAGTCTGCGAGATATGTACTTAAGCGTCAATCCCGCTAACCCTACTACTCCTGCCGTTATCTCAATACACAGCACCGCAGGCTCTGCCACGATGGTGGTCAACAACCCGGCACCAGCCGCGCCTTACCCCATACCGGTTGCTACCAGGGCAGTGTCGACGCCGTCCATGTAATTGACGACCCTGTGATATTTTTTATACAATGCTCTAGGCGCATCGCGGTCTTGTTCTAGTTGTCGTTTGATGTCATATAACTGTTTCAACCGAAACCCGTCTATGGTTTCCAGTGTCTTTGCTACTTCTTCCATGACTGGGTACAGCCCCATCCTGATCGTATAATATATATTACCAGATATATCTTAATTGGGTTTCTGATAAAGGTCGATCAACGTATTTTATACATATAAGGTTTATATTACTGGTCAGGTAAAAAGTCGAAATTGAAACAGAGGAAATAAGTTCTATATTAACTCCCTCGAGGCTTACTAAGGGTGTCGATCCATTTCGTATGATAATACGACAACGTTGGTATTCGTGTCTGTCTTCCCAACTTATTCTAACAGTAGTTGTAAGTGGGACATAATCAGGAGCTCCGAGATAGACGTCTAAGATGAGTGTGGAGTCTTCTATGGCAAATTCAAAATCTGTTTGGAACCTGGGTAATGTTAAATTTAAAGCTGAACTACTACCGTTTGGGGCCAACATGATGCCCGAGCTACCCGGTATTCGTATAACTTGCACATCATTATCCGGAATGAAAGACGTGAGAAGTAAACCGTTGTTCTTAATTTTGGAGACGTAACCAGTTTCTTTAAAGAAAATGTAAGGTGCAGTGAGGGTCATGTTTATCAACCATTTGGGCTCCTTAAAGTCTGCCAGCGACACCCGCTCGTACACATTGTCTTTCAAGTGTAGGACGTACAAGGTGTCTTCCTCACCAGGCAGATCGAACCCCTCCGTGTCTCCTAGATCACCAAGCATGACGTTGTGACGATGGCTGGCCATTGCTGTACTACCGTTAGAAGAAAATAGTTTCCAATTGTTTTTCTGATAGTTTCGCGTACGTACACTTCAAGCCTGTAAAATGTAGGTTGTTGGGTAAGAAGATTTTGGTGAGTGATATCGTGTCTTCCACGGTCATGGTGACCCCCTGCAGACTGGTGTGGGAGTCGACACCCACCCGCATGTAAACAGAGCAAACGTGATACTGATGTTGTTTGGCCCACTGGAGTTTGATCCCTTTCACGATCTCGACTTTGCGCGGCCCAGACGACGGTGGTTCACCGAGGTAGACTTGAATGACCAGAGTGGAATTAGCAGGCACGTTTTCCATGATGTCATCCAACTCGGCGAATTCCGAGACCACCTGCAAGCTCACGTTGGGCACACCGGGCTTTCCAGACAGTGTGTGGAATATCCTATTCCTCGTCAATGCGCTGATGATTACACTGCATCTCTGAGTCGGGACATAAGCCACGAGCAGGGTTCCGTTGTTCACGACTTTGCTTATGTAGTGGTCTTTGTTTTCCGTGAACGCGTAGGGGGAGCCGAGCGTGATGTTGATGATCCAATCGACTCGAGATGGTTACAGCACCCACTTGTCATAGTCGGTGAAGACGAGGCTGTACGGTGAGTTTTGAGCGACGACCGTGGGCTCGACGTTGTCCAAGTCGAACAGCTTACCACTGAACGCTGGGCTTATCGTCCATTCGTCAGCACCTCTGCGGGCTAGTCCATACCGAGTGTTGAGGGCCGCTCCTGAGGTATTGACTATATCACCTAGGTTACCACCACTGATGGAGGGGACTTCGACGCGTTTGTAAATGCTGTTTTTAGGCTGCAAGGCGTACAGTTTACCCTCTACTCGGGGGTCGTTAAACCCGCGTGTGTCCCCGAGGTCGGAGATCCCTAAATTGATGCATTTTTTCAACCTCATAGCCGTTCCGGGTCCTTGAGCGCTAGTCATTATCGTATGTGCAGTGTCACGCTGAGGTATCCTATATTCACAGGATTATGTTCTATATCTAAAATTGATATTGTCAACTCCGGGAGGGTACCCCGCGTTAACCTCTTGTACTGCTGCGACTAAAACGACTCGGTTCTGCTGTCGTTGTACTTCTCCGTTTTCACCGGTACGGCTCTCAGCAGCGTTGAAGGGCGGTCGACCTGAATGTTGTCCGTCGTGCTCACCTGATCGAGATGAATGCACAGCTCTCGGTACGGGACTAGGTCGGGTAACTTCGTACCCGTGACGGTGATTGTGGGTTTTATCTCATCCGGCGGCAGCCCGAGCATCCTCGCCAATGGTCGGCCGAGCCTCAGGGTGTTTATTCCGTTGTTGGTTAACACCACTGTGCTGTTTGAGTCGTTCATCTTGAGTTTGGCTCCCAGGGGCTTGAAGACTTCGTCGCTTAGCGAGCACACGCTGTAGTAGCCGTTGGTAATGTGGTTGCGGACGTCACTGACGAACAGCTTGTTGTTGCTGTCGTTGGTAGGTAGGTGATATCTCAGAGTGCAACTTCGAGTTGTCCGAATGTGTTATCGATCGCGTGCAGCAGCTGAACAGCCTCGCCGCTCGTTATTCCCGGGAGCGTTACGTACATATCGAGAAGTATATCATACGTTATATAATATTTCAAACATGTACAAACCGGGAGTGTTTTATTCTAAAAGCGACAACGTAAGTGCCTCCAATCTCACGAACATGAAGAAAGTGGCCGACGTGGCTCGGTTGTATTTCGGAGCCCAGTTTATAGATGTGTTTGAAAAGTATAGGCTTTCGGTGAAGCATGACAACACAGTCCACGATTGGTTCAACAACCCTATGCAGTTCTGGCTGTATCAACTCAACTTTGCCGTCTGGTGCGTGACGACTGGGTGCGGCTTGACGTTGACCAACACTAGGCGTGATGCGCTGAGTAGGTCTGTGTTCACGTTCCACGTATACTACCAGGTCAGGCGTATCCTCAAAGACATCAGCGCCCCGCTCCAACAGGACACAGGGTCAGACGCATTAAACAACCCGTACGATCGACGGGCCAACGAAAACGTTAGCAACGAATTCAAAATAGACCCGAAGACGGATTGGGGTTTGCCGGGCCTGAACTATGGGTTTTGTATCCCCATCGTTCACAAAATGCCCCTCGTGGAAGGTTGAAAGAATGGGGTGGTAACATTTATGCGGGTTTTTACGTCACGACGAACAAGTGGAACGATAAATTCATGTCTTTCGACACCAACAAGGATTACCGGATCATGGGGTTCAAGAAGGGACCCGCGGATGACTGGAAAAAGTTCATGCTCGACACGTCAAGAGGGTTCACTCATGCCGGCATCGAACGTACGTGTGGGTGTGCAGGCGCAAACGCTTTCCGGCATCATCGGTAATGGGACTGCTTTAGACGCACAGAAACAGTTCTTTGCCAACGTCGAGGATGCCAGCACCGCCCCGGTCGATCTACCGGGTGCCATCAAACGCTATCAAGACGTGTTGGAATATGCCCAGTCTAAAGTCGACTACGTGTTCGACGTGGGCCTGTACATGGCTCCGGGCGACATGCAACTGAGAATCAACAAAGTGGTGGGCTACAACACCAAAGTCTCATTTGGCAGGGCTTCGGCGGCCTTACCAGCGAGTTTAGCCAGGGCTTCCCCGAGTGATTTCAGATGTTTTTTATCCAGTCTCTGACATCACCACTTGGTTGGGTTGGAGGCGTACCTCCACCCCCTCCATCCCCAGTCAGTGATACGACCAGGGTTGATATGATGAAGCCTGGTGCCGTCAGAATACTTTTTTTTTTATAATTGATAATTTTTATTTCTTGCTTCCCCTGTTACAGATAAGGCCGAAGAGCTAGGGAACTCTAAGGTCCTTTGCAAGAAGGTTCATTGATCACAGGAAAAACAGGATTTTTTTCTAACAAAGCACAAAAAAACAACACCAGACACCACAACACATTCACTCACCAATCACACTTACAAGCTTCAAATATTTACAGTAAGTTTAAGTTCAAGTCCATTTAGCCTATATTTTTCATTAGGGAACAAGAAGAAAGAATTCAGAAAATCATTTAAAATTTGCAAAATCATGATATAACATCCACTTTTTATAAAACTTATCTTGTTCACTTTTACTGAAGGATATATTCTTTTCAATAAAATACCTATCTTGTAAATAATGTCTAAAATGTTTAAAACTAAGAGTAGTTTTTAATACCTTACATTTATATATGAAGAATTTAGCTAACAACAAT